CTTTCACATACACTGACCAGCACCAAAATGCACAGAACGCTCATTATACACATGCAGATGCATAAGGGCTGTTTCAGAAGTGTTCCTGATATTATCTGCAATTATCAGAACTTAAATAATTACAGAAAAATGATCTTGAGTTACCCCAGTACTGCTGCTCACTAGATATGCAAGCACAGCCCCCTGTGCTGTAAACTCTTCCTCCAGAGCTTCAAGGAGCCACTGAGAACACTTTTCCCCCTCTGTATTTTGAAAAGTTTGTATTTTAAGACACAGGCATGGACAGATGTAATTCAGTAGTTGAGACAACTCTGCAAGGACACAGAGGTGAGCGATAGCTTATCTTGCTGTTAATGGTACCATGAGGAGTTCAAAGGTGTCCTTAATTGTCTCATTCATGCTGGGCTTTGTCAGGTTATTACACAGCCATTTAATAAAGTGATATCGGAGGGGATACAATTTGCAAACTGTTAATCTAGAGAATGAACTTTGATGTGTTAAATGAGGCTCTTTGTCCCAGCTGTTTTGATGAGGAAGGGAGAGGGAGTCAAAACTCCGTGTGCCATCTGCAAAGGGACAAAGTACTTCTGCTAATTTACAACGAGGCTGTAGCTAACAAGCAGCTCATGAAATATCCTCTGTGTGCGGAAGTGCTATAGATATTTATGTATGTTTATAAGTTTGCAAAACACTGGGAACACCCATCTACAAAGAGCAAACAGAACGTGAACAGAGATGATCTCCTGAAAGAAAACAAACTGCAGATGTAGAAGACAGAGTGGCTGGCAGCACACAGATGAAACACTTCTAGGGTGTTCTGCAGAATCCTGTTTGTCCAAAGTGCTTTTGCCCTTCCCCTCATCCTTCTGGAGCCCACCTGATCATCAGCAATTGCTTTAGCAAAGCGAGCACAATCCAGCTGCAGGTAAATGTCCGTCAGTTGGTCCAACAGCTTCTTTGGTTCAAACCCATATTTCTCTGGGTTTTCAACTTTCAGGTCACGGCACTTGGGGCCACACAGTTGCTGTAAGTTAAAGTTCAACATAGCAGCCAGTCGTGGTCCAAGCTCCTACAAAGGCAAAGTAAAAGAGATCAAAGTGTGAAGGCAGTGACAGTGAAGATTATCACTGGATTTGCACACAGCAAGATCAGGAATTATTAACCAATACACCTTTCCTTTGGCAGGCTTGCAGGAAGTGTCTGCTCTTTATGCATGTTTGCCATTAAAAAATGCCATGCAAACAGCTTCTGCCTAGAAGGATGACACCATCCCAGTGACTCAGGTGATGCTCTCACATCAAATAACATCAACAGCAATTAGGCTTTAATGAGTTGGAGAAAGGGGAGGAGAATGGAGACAAAGTGCTACCAAACACTTCCAGGTTATTATCCAGAGATGTCAGAGAAGCAAGAAACCAACTTAAACCTGAGAAGGACTTACAGGTCTGAGAAAAGGCTTTTGGACCTGCTTGGTAAGGATATGGAACATATCAACAGTTTCTGTGGCCAGGGCGAGATATGAGCGGGACACGCGCTCGTCCTGCGCCAGCTGCGACTGCCGCGCCTGCTGCTGGTCCTGCAAACAAACACAGAGCGGTCACAGCTCCCCCACAGCACCCACAGCCCCTCACAGCCACAGTGCCAACGGCAGCTAGGCAAGAGAACAGACAGCAACTCAAACACAGACGTGAGGCACCTCTGAATCTAAGGTACAGCTGCTCACTTTTACTACCCAGTCCTAATGACTGCACCAATCTTCCTGAATTCTGCAACTCTAGAGGATGAAAGCAAATGGCATCACAGGCCCCCACGGTTATTGAGTCTGTTTACGTTCTCTAACTGCTCCTCACAGCTGCAGAACTGGGTTATGCTTCCTTTCCATCCAAATGCCAATAACTTCAAAACCAGCTTGGGATCTGAGAGTCAAATGAGGTTCTCTCTAATTTATGCACCACCATAAATAATAAACACTCCCCAGTGGAACAATCTGTAGATGATGTACCAGCTCATTTTGTAACTACAGTAATGGCTTTACCTTGCTGGTAGGCACAGGCAGGAAGAAAGGCTTCAGAAGAGCAAACCAGAATATGTTTAACAAACAAGATTTTATAGCTTTTCTTTTTGTACTTTTTGGTTTGTTTTTTTTTAAATCAATAACCTTAAAATAGAAATACCCGACATTGGTGGGTCAACACACACAATTATTGTTTAATCAGGCCGAGCTCTGAGGTACAGGACTATAATTGTCTGCATCGAATCTACCAAGGATCAATGCATTAACAAAATAAAAGCTTCTACTCCTTGAAGTCAATTCAACTGGCGAGCATCTTCCCAAACCTCCTTCAGGAAGGTTAAAGTCTCGGTTTCTCCACTTAGAATTAAGTGCACAGTAATTTGAAACGTTACACTATTTCCACTTCACACCACTCTCTTTGCCAGGCACAACATAACCAGGCAGAATGATGGTTTTCTGCAGAAATGTCATCCAGAGTGACCACGGCCATACTGGCAGCAAGAAAAAGCATCGAGAACTGCTTCTCATGAGCAGCTCTTTGGTGCTGCCCCTTATTAAAAAGTGGTTTTTAATGGTCTTGTATTAAAAAAATTAAAAATAAGTAAAGGGCACTTTGAAAAACAGCTCTGTTCACCCTGGGCAGCAGGTCCCATTGCTCTTTATTCTTCATCTCCTCTTGCACTTCATGGATACGTTTTAGGGACTCCAGACTCTCATCCAGCAAGAAAGTTGTGTCATTTATCAGCATGTTGATGTAGCGAACAAACTGCTTCCCAGAGCTGAAAACATCGAAACACAGGTATCACGGCAGAGCAGGTGGGCCTGCAGAGCAGACTGCAACCCCAGCAACACTCCTGCACTGAATATTTCCAACAACGCTCCCATTCCCCAAGCCAAGGTGATTGTGGTGTCCAGAGCTCAGCTTAGAAACACTCCAGTTCTACTGGGAGGGGTTGCCATGTACGGGACAATGGGAAGCAGCATCACCCATTCCCAAAGGCAGGGACTCCTCAGGTCCCTGCCCGAACAGCCTGGTGGCAGGGAGCAGTGCTAGACACAACCTCTTACTCACTTGAACTCCTCCATAAAGGTACCATGGTGGGCAATGTTTTGCCAGAGGCTTTTGAAGATGGTGCTGATGTGGTAGCGGATCGTGAACTTGTCATAGAACTCGCTCGTGGCTCCGGTGTGTTCCACATCTGGAAAAGAGCACAGATCCCGGGATTGAAATCCCAATTTTCCCAGCAGGATTCCCCTGCAGCACACATCTCTCCCCACTGTCTCCAGTGGGATGAACTGCAAGCACCAAGCTTTAAGAGATGGAGTTCAATTCCCATTCAGAAGTCTTCATCGTAATCCCCATTAAAAGAAGCAGCACTGCACATTTTCTAACCCAAACTCAACCTCATTTCTGAAGAAAAACCCTCAGAAACCAAAACCTTCTGCTCTATTCAAGTCTGCTCTTCATCCCACAGTCTAAAATTTCACTAAGAAAATTCTGGGAATAGACAACAGGCCTTGGAACAGACCAACAAAAATAGTTGGTTTTACAGGTGTAAAAACTCTTCTGAAGCAGCTGAATCTACAGGACCAGCAAAACTACAACAGGAGGTTCTATAATCCCACTGCTGCCTTAACAAGCAAAGCAAACCAAAAGCTTTCATTTTGGAATCCAAACACCACAAAACCAACTGTCACATCGATCTACAGTGCTGCAGCTGCCAGTGCACAGCAGCTTGTGGAAGGACTGGAATTCTCAAGGTCCCATCTAATGCTGTTGCCCCCAGTTCCTGAGTAATAAAGCCTCATCTTTGCAAGAACCAAGATCTACCCATTTTTGGTTTTGTTGGGTTTTTTTGTGTTGTTTTTTTCTAATGGTTACCACATCAAACACAACCTTTGGCCTTCGAGTACTCATCACTGTGCACTCAATGAGCTACAGACACAGCACTTACCTGTGTAAAACTTCATCAAGGAGGGGACCAACAATTTGGTGGAGAGAGGGTGATTCTCAATCATTTCAAAGAACTTCTGTGTGCGGGGCTGCACAGCTGGATTTGTCATGAACATCACCTCCACTAGCTTGGCCACTAAATAAGGATTTCGGATGTAGTTCTGGTTGCACAGCATCACAACAAGGAACATCACTATGTCCTGAGTACAGGGCTCATACAGCACCTGAGGAGCATATCTGGGAACAGGGAGAGAAGGAAAACTAAATGCAAAACCCCAACCCTCATGTTCTACTCCTTAAGCTCTGGCTTTTTAAAAATACTATTCTAGTGATGATTTAACATATCACAAGATCAAAAGGTCTCACTGCAAACCATAAGGAAAATTCCTGGGGAGGGAACCCAACTGTCTTCCATGGAAAATTTAGGTTAGAAGGGACTCTGGAGCTCATCGAGGCATTAGAGCAATGCTGCCATTCCATACTCTTATGGCTTCTGTTCAAAACCAGAATATTAACTACAGAATAGCTATAAAACTACTTCTGCACCCTGAATTTATGCATGTGCCACCTGCTACAGGGGCAAGTGATAGTACAAGTTTCCTTCAGATATAACTTTACTTACTGTACAATAAAAAATAAAAATTCGGCGACATCTTCCACGTAAAACTCTGGCAACGCTGCAAATACCTTGGGAACCTCAGGAGTTAAAGGCAATTTTATGCTGTAGAATAGAAGAGACAACAAACAGGACAGTAAATCAGCAGGGTTAAGCAGAAAGTGCCCTGTGATGTCCTATGGAATTATCCTATGGGAACACTTTATAGTAGTTCCAAAACTGACTTCTTAAAATTCCACATCAGTGCTTCAAGGGTTCCAAAATACCTGAGGGTGTTCCCCCAAACCCAACTGAGCTTAAACTCTAATAACATGCTGATTCCATGCAAGAATGTATGTCACTGACATAAATAAAGTAACAACCACTAACAATGGAGGCACTGTAAATAAAAATAGTTCTACAACTGCTAAATTCAGTGAGCAATCAAACATGGGCTGGAATATCTTTGATAGGACTCACACAGGTAATCCTGACACTCACTTGGGGTAGGCAGGGTCTAGAATGCGAAGCATCAGCTGGATCACCATGCCATAGAAATTCAGGCATCTCCTGAGAAAGTTTTCATCCAGCAAACCGGCGTCTGCACAGGCCTTGCACCTCACCAGTTTCTGCAGAACAGGCACACAAAAACTAATCCAGGGCAAGACAACATCAAGGAAGGTCAAACCTCTCCCAGCTAATCAATAAATGTGTGAATCAGGACAATTACCCAGGGGTCTGTTCTTACAGCACACTCAGAGCAGGGGACACAGGCCCCAGCACAGCAAGTCAAACACAGGTGACTCAGAGCTGCAGGGGCAGAGCTGCCTTTTCCAAGCTTTATGTGAACAATGAAAGAGGTAACAAAGGTATCAAAGCGGGGAAATGTGCAATTAAAGTCATTTCAGTGCTACAGCTCAGGAAATTTGTGCCAATTTGTGCTGGGAAGACCTGAGCAATACAAACCTTCAGAAAAGGGCAGCCCAGCTTACTCATCTGTGCAGGAACCCTGCGTGAGACTGGGGACTCGAGAGTTCCTACTTGGGCATGGACTGTGCACACACCTCTGAACAAAGCACAATCCCTTTGCTCTCTCCCTCCAATAAACAACATCCAATTTTCTTCTTTCTGAAGAACACTAAGTGAATCTTGGTGTTACTTTGAACCTTAAAGTCACCACTGCTGTTATTTCGTGTCACCTCCTGCAGCTCTCAGGTGGGTCATGGGTTCAAACCCACCACTGTCAGGCCTCATCAGCGAGAAGTTGCATTTAGACATTAAAGTCAACACACTGACAGGCTACAAAGGCATTTAGCCAGGAGCAGAATCACTTACAGACCTTGAGCTGTGTCTTGCACCGTTTCAGCATCTCTCGATGTCTGGTGGCCAGAGGGGAATCCTTCCACTGACTTTCGTTGTTTTTCAAATCTTCCACAGTCCTGAAAGGCAGAGGCAGCAGCTCGTTATCACACAGAGGGGAAATGTGCTGCCATTACCAGGCATTTAACCTTCCTATCTGTACTTAAAAGAGCCGATCATTTCCATAGAAGTTATCCATCAGGACGACAAGAAAAAGAAACTGCTTTTGTAAATGCAGATTAAACATCTGCACAGCCTGCACTCACCACACACACAGGCTCCAACATCCACGCCTGTCAGGGACACCAAAGGGATGGAACACACAAGGGCTCTATCCTGCCTCACAAACTAATTTTACTATTAAAAAAAAAAGGGGAAAAAATTGCCTTTTTTTGTTTGGGTTTTGGGTTTTTTTCCCCCACTGAAGTCTATGGTCATGCCAAAGGAAGGTTAAAATGGTGTCATGAAAATTAAACCTAAAATTTGCCCCACCACAAGGAAGGATTGGTCCAGCTAATAATGAGATATTTAGAGATTTCATTCATCTTCTGGTATCAGAAAGGAAAAATGGAAAACAAAATCAGCTAAGGAAGGAAAAGGTGGCCAACAGCAGGTCTTGTTAGAAATGAGAAAGGTAAAAGTCTGCATCCTGTGCAACTTCCTACTTTCTAGTGTTGCAAATGACTTTTTGGAGTTGTGTTCTACCCTTCTCATGCTCCACTCCTCAGAAAATTCAGGCTTGCAGAGGGTACAGTATGTGAACAATCTACAGTATCCCTGGCAGTGTAAGGACCAGGAAATCAAGGGGGTTGACATTCCTCCCTTTTCTTACCCATCTTCTCACTCTGCCCAACAGAAGAGAGAACTCAAATGTACATTACACACACCACTTACACTAAGAAAATCCTCCATATTCTCGTATCTCAATCCTTTTTAGGAGGGGCAGCTGATCAGAACAAAGCTCATACAGCCCCTTTCCATCCCTTCTCTAAACACAAATCCTCTTCCCCACCAATCTCTGGCTGAAGCAGACCAATATCCAGTGTAATTTCTTTATTAACAACACCTAAAGACACTGCCCAGTGTTGCACTGAGCAGTTGATGGAAAACACTGACCCCTGAGCTCCTGCTGCTGCCAGGAGAGCCAAGAGCTCCTCACTCTGCACCCTTGGACAGGGAGTGCTGCATCAGCAACTCCTGGGCAGCAATTCTAAATAAGGAGAAAGCAGCAATTCCTTTTTCAAGCCAACATATGGCTTTTTTACAAGTAATCCACAGGCTGTTTATAGGAAAATACTTTTTTCCTTTAAGATCCGCTGACTCTTCCCGCTCCACTCTCTCTGCAGCTTCCCAGGTTCTTGGCCTGCCTGTGCCTTAAAAATGAAATCACCTCAAATGCAGTCCAAAAATCCAGTAATGAACTCACGGCATGACTGCCAAGGAACATTTACCAAAATGCAATGAGTGCAATTCTAAACAATGGAAAATACTGATGATACAAAAATCTGGTCTAATTTTAACAGAGGATTCTTCGACGTTCAGCAACTACAAAAACCTATTTGAATGGATGTCAAGAGAAATGGAAAACAAGAGTATCCTCATGCCAACATCATAATGTATATGTGAGTTATGACTTTTAAAACAGTAGACCATGTGCTGAATTACATGTGCACCAACAATATGAAGAGGTTACTGCTGAAGGCTTCTCTCCCCTAGAATATGATGAGTTCTCCCACCTCAGGAGCTGAGGGAAAAAAGGTAAATAGTGTCTGGGACATTCAAAACAGCTCAGACACGACTAACAAAGTCTTGTTTCTGAAATCACATCACACATGGAACTTTAAGTGCACTGCTCCAGCTGTCAGAGAGCCTGAGGCACTGATGACCCGCCAACTACACCACAGATCACTTGTAATAAACAGTCTTAAGTATCAAAATGATCTGGGGAGAGTTATCTTTTAAACAGAATGGTCTTCTTACCAACCTGAGCTGCCTGGTGTAACCAACAGCCTCCACCTCACTATTATCTGAATTCCTGATTCAAGCCACAGTCCCTCAACACACCCAAAAATCCTCAAGGCCCAAAAGCAGCAGTGTAACAGAGAGCTGAGGTGATCTGTGCTCAGCAACAGTTTCACCCCAACTGTCCTTCTAATTCCATTTAGTTGACTGGACTCGGTGAGAAGAGGATACTGGGGGCTGCCAGGACCCTGCGAGGCAGCAGAAAATCAAACATCCAACCTGTTGAGCTCCCTGATGGCTCGGAGCCTCCGGATGTACCGCCGGCAGCTGGGCAGGATGGACAGGTGGTGGGCGTGCAGGGTGAGGAAGAAACATTCCGTTGGGAATTTCGGCTCAGAAAATGGAGACGGATCCCTGTCTGGAAAAAGAAACACACAAAAAAGCAGCAGAGGTGAATAAATTAAAAAAGTGAACTGCCTTATCTAGGAGTGAGACCTTGAACTCAGGAAGAGCAGACAGCACCAAGAAAAGGGATTTAGGAAAAGGGGAGTTATTTGCTGGGATCAAGTACTTCCATGTACCTCCACGGCAGAACCAGAAGGCACAGTAAATGCTTAATAAGAGTACTAACAAAGTTCAGCAAGCCAGGCTGCAACATCCTCCATTGTTGCTTTCACTCTTGTCTCATCCGTAGGGAGCTCGATCCGACACCTGGGGTGGAATATGTACATGGGATCAACCGTTTCCAGCTTTATCTTCGTACTCAGTTGCTGCAGTACCCAGAGGAAGTTGAGCATGAAGCCATCTGTGGACACCAAACGATCGTCTGTCTGTGGGGTGAGAAAGCAAAGGGCTGAGGACAAGCTGAGAAGCACAAGGGTTCAGTTCCAACAGTCCCCAACATCACTGAGCTGGGCCAGTTCAAGAGAAGGGAGAAATGAGGAACGTGGTTCGGAACGTGGCTCTGCCAGGAGACTTCTGTGGCAATGGGCAATCAGTTACTGACTGACACATCTCCCTTCTCTATGGTTCAATAATCACCCTCAAGAACATCAAACAAACATGTAAAAAGAAGCAGAAAATGATCTAAGAAATTAAAAGGGGCTCTTTGGAGAATGGTTTGCCCACAGATAGAGAGAGCAACAGAAGAGCTCCAAATAGTTGCTGAGCTTCAGTTCATCAATTTTATCTTAAGTGTAGTTTCTGTTACTTCTTCACTGGAATTTCACAGAAATACTTCTAGTAATGGTTCCAAATGTTCACTTTTGAAAAGGAGACATGAAGACAACAATGAACAGCTTCAGCTGTTCAGGACTCACATGCAGATTTTATCACAGGAAACGAGTTAATTAATTAATGCGTTAATTAAACTATGGCAAAATCCCATCCCCGGTGTTTCACTGGAGCCAGGCCAGTTCAGACCTGCCCTGCTCCTTCTGCAGACACCCCATTCCAAGCCCAGCACCTCAACAGCTGGGAAAGCTGCTTGTCAAACACAGTCAATTGGGCTGAAGCCCTCAGAGATGGGGCAGGGGGAGTACAAAGCTTTGAACACCTAATATAGAACCTCTGCTGATGAAAAGACATCTCAGCCCTAAGAGAGGAGATATAAACTGATAAAACAGATTGATTTAAGAAATGAAAGATGTATTGCAAGGGACAAAGACTGAGGACAGGGCTTCTTGCCTGTGGTAGCAGGCACTCAAATTCTTTTGTCCTCCATTCTAGACCACCAAGGCATGAGCCATCCAGAGCTATTTGTGGATGGATGAGGTCCATGAATCACAGGAAGAGCATTTCCTTTTATTTACCTGCATTTGGGCCTTTTTCATGTTGGCATTGACCACAGCTGCCATGTAACCCAGAGCTGCCTCCCGGGTCTCCCCGTTCAGTAGGATACTGTGCAGGATCTTGAACAGCTCTTGCTGGAATTTCAAACAAACATCCTTGTCAGGTTGCACACACTTCCCAACATCACAGTCCTGCCTTCTGTTTGCCTCTATTTTTGTGTTCTTCGAATTCCACAGAACTCAGTAAAACTTCTGTTATGGTCGCTGTTACTGTCAACTTTCTGTGCCTGTGTTAGTTCTGACATTAGTTACACAAAAGATGCAAATACAAGACTAGTGTAGAGACACAAAATTAGCACAGTGTTTATTTACTCATCCTTTCACATGAACTGTAGCCCATGACTAACTGATCTGATATTTTCTGAATTGGCTTACAGCCTTAGAGAAATATTTGTAGCACTGTATTTTTTTCCCCAATTCCTTTCAGCCACATCCCAAAACACCTGTGGCTTAACACAGAAGCTCATTTTTTTAGATTATATTCCTCATCTATGCCAAGACCAAAACCCCCACATATTATGCATTTTTTTAAAGAAATGAGCACACTCACCCTTGCTAATTCCAGGTAATGTTGCAAAGACTGGCTGACAACCCGGGTGTTTTCAAGAGTAATGGCAGGCCCTGAGAAGTACTTTTCAACTACTTTGTTCTGAAAGGAAATATTGGCAAATGTATCAAATGTATTGGGGAAGTAAAAAAAACCCTTAACAACAAAAAAACCTCCCCACCATGCTACTACAAACATCCTCCTGTGACACTTACATCATCTTCAGCAAAGACAGAGAGACTGAAGAAGGCTCCAAGGTAGGAAAGTCTTTGCAGTTCTCTTCCTGCACCTGTGCTTAAAGATTTAGGCAACCACAAGGGCAAAGAGACAACCTAAAAATAGGAGAAACAGCAAGTTCTTCAGCGCTGCCGTGTCAGCCCTCTGCTTTGTCACCTTCCCATGTCTGCCACACGCCCCCGGCCCTTCCCCGCTCAGTCACGCTGAGGGCTACATGGAAACAGCTCCTCAGCCTTCCAGTTCCCCAGCAACTCGTGTTTGTCCCAGTTTTCCTGAATTCTCAGGGGAAAGGATTCCCTTTACCAGTTTAATTTAAACCATTGTTTCCCATGAGATGCTCCAGTAGCCCTTGCTTGGAGTTCTGAGAACCTTCTCAATGTGGATTGTACAACAACAACACCACCAGCCTCAGTGGTTCTTTTCACTGGATACACTTACCAAACTGCACATAGGGTGTGTTTTCCCAAACTTGATTTCACAAAGTTCACATAGTGCCTACAAAGAAATCCCAGTAAAAATCACTTTTGTGAGTAATTCCTAAGCAACCTGTCTGCAAAAAACAAGCTTAACGTGGCAAACTGCTGCAAGAGCCCAGCCTTTCTCTCTTGATCAGTGGGAAAACTTCACTCTCATGGTGAAGGGAGGGAGAGCACACCCTGCTCCCATTTTAGCTTTTACATCTGCTCCAAGTTGTCTCAAAGAGGCCAACGTGTCTCCCAGAATAACAAATTATTGCGCTTATTTCAAAAATTAGCTGTGCAAATTGTTGTTTGCTCAGAACATGACAATGCCTGTGCTGGACTCCTGAGCCACCACATTAAATCCAGTAACAATAATAAATAGAGCAATTGTTCTCTCCATACACCAAGGCCTTTGTCTTCTGAATCAGAGTGGAAAAATGTCAAATGAACACAGAACCCAGGAACAAAGAACCCTATCCAAGATCTCTAACTCACTTTCAACTGCAGCACAGAAAGAAGAAAGCAGTTGTAACAGAGAATTCTGGAAACACAAAAATGCTGTTGGCCTTCCCACTTCTGTATTGTGTGTTCTCATTCTTCAATTATACCACAGGTACTAACTGCTATTCCATCCTCCTGTTGCACACTGTGCCAGCCAGAGATAATGAAAACACAGACTCATTTTCGAGTAGCCCTTCCTTGTAGCCAACAGCCAAGCTTGCAGCAGTTCCCATTTTCAATTGGGGGAATAACAGCAGAGAAGGAAAACACAGAGCCAGAAAAAAATTATTGGTTTTTTGCAAAAGTACCAGAGTTACTTAATCAATTTTGATTTGCAGCCCCCCACTCCAGCTGATTTCCTGAAGGGCAAGTTAAAGCTGAGGTGTAACAGCCTTTTTTGGCACCACACACAGAGAAGATCCTAAAATGTGAAGGTGTTGGTTGACAATGCTCAATTTACCAGGAATCCAGACTGCTCCATGGTGGCCAAACACACTTTGCAAAGAGTGGTTTGGTTTGTCAATAAAAGCAGCAGGAGGGGAGCAGATCTAGGACTGAGAATGTACTTTAAAAAACCTAAAAATAAACCCCTCAGCTTTTCAGCCAGGGAATACTATGATGTTTTCCTCAGTAAATAGTCCCCAATTCAAATATTTTGGGTTTAATGCAACAGATCTGAGTTTCCCACAGACTAAAGTGAGTCCAGAATACACTGGTATGGACATTGGCTGTTATTCCCCAGATCTAAACTGAGAGGAGCTTAGCAGGATTTTATAAACATCCACAGTATTATAGTTATGCAGGATGAAATTCATACATTTGATTAATCTTATATCAAGCAATACACACAAACATTTGAGTAGACCCCCATACAAAGTGTTCATTAAGCTTAAACCATTATTGGCCTCACACTCTACTAGATTTTTAATGTTCTTTTACACATCTCATACCACATTGAGCTTCCTACAGAGTTTAATAGCAATCCACCAACCAAAAAAAGCCCCCAAAATGTTGAAGTCCATTATCTTGTATAGAATCTGCATGTTATCAATGATGATAAAGAAACTGTTTCTAGCAATGGACAGTCCTTACCATAAGGGGATATTTAAAATTGTCACTATCGAGGGAGCACTCTTTGGAAGCTACAGCCAGGCCTTGTAAGATGGGAATAAAGATCTGTAAAAACACAAGTAGATTAACTTTATTCAAGATACAGGAAACAATCAAATGACTCTATTGCTGAACACAGCACGAACTGCCTGTTCATTCTCCAAATACCACAAGTTACACAAAAGCAAAACCGAGATATCTTCTTTAAATTTCTTTAAATCTTTAAATAATCAGTGAAGCCTGAAGGCTTAAAGAGATTATTCAAAGCTAAAAAGCAACTTGTTTGCTGTAGTGGATGTGCTCAGGTGTTGTGCCCTCAAGTTCTCTGCAGGCACGTGTGTTAGAGACACAAAGCAGAGCACGAGTTCTGCCCAACACCCTGACTGCCCACGTGGGGAATCACTGCCCTGCCTGGACACTTGGGGTAATAACACAGCTCTAATTTTGCAGGATGTGTAAGTTGGGAAGGATAATAAGCAGCAGTCAAGGGTTGTTAGGAAAGAGGAAGTGACTTGACAGGAACTTATTAATCAGAAGTAATTATAGCCACTTAGTGAGTCCCAATCACGCAGCTCTGACAACTATAACCTCACAACATAAATCAACAGGAATTCTCCAACAGTAACAAGGGATCCCACTGAATTCTGAATTTAAAGTGTATTGTGTTGCTTCTATGAAGAGACAAAGAAAATATTAAATCATATTAGGGAGAAGGACTATAGAGGTGTCCATGTGCTTCAGCCAGAGGAAGGGTTCTCCTCTCCAGGGCAGGTGACCTTTAACACTTTTAAAAACCACTTTTTGACAGTCTTAAATGTACTTGCAACTGTATGAACATCTACTAAAAGGAGTTCAGACAGAAATATAAATTATTAACAGGTACTTGCACTACATATAAAAGTTATCTCATGTCATTCTTTTCTAAACTGGAAGGATAAAATGCCATTCCAAAGGCCCCTTTACAGCCAAGTCTCACAATATTAGTGTTAATTAGAGACAATGACAACCTCACTGATCTGCTCTACAGTACATGGGCTGGAGATTTGATAGTTTTGTGTCTTATCATCATCTCAGTGAACTGCTCTGACACACCAAATAAACCATTTTCAGTCATTTCCTCTGTAAAATATGAATTACTGGACTGGGACTTGTAAAGTGCTGTTAACACCTTAGGTGCAAAATATTAAAGATGCAAAGAGGGCTAAAGATTGCAAAATGGAAACCACAATAAACCTTCCTGAGCAGGACTCCAGCAGATTGCTTACATGTACATTTTTTAGGGATTTTGTACTAAAGGATGAAACCCAGGATCAATCTTGCAATATATACCTGCATATTCCACTTCAACCTCAGTGTGTGCTGCTTATTAACAAATGCACTTTTCATAATTAGAACCAGCAAATAATGGAAGTCAGCCTTTTTCAGAAAATGAGTTTAAAAGGAACAAAATCAGACTCCAATTGTTTGGGAGGCTGACAGCCCCTGAGCTGCAGGATAAACCTCTGGAAATCTTGGATACTGCAACTAATAGAGTCACATGCTACAGCTATTTATTTTTGACCTGTGCCTTACCTGTTTGAACACCTCTTCATCCTGATAAGTTGTCCTCACCAATTCTTGGATGAAGCCAAATGGGAGATTCCTACACAGCATATATGGTACCAGCAAAGACTGCTGCTGCAATGACCTTTATTTGCATTAAAAAAAAAATAAATCCAAAACTACTGATTACTTGCAGTAGTATTTGCAAAAATGTCAGAGCAATCACACATAAGGATGTGTCTGAGAGCACATTATCAATGTGTAGATACACCTATTCCTTCCTAATCTTGTCTGCTTGGGGAAAGGTTCCTCTAAACCAGGTGCTGCTGCCAACCCCACACTGCAGTTCATGAGGCTGGAAGAAAACAGCAGCTTCTGTGGACTAACTAGTTGCCCCTTCTACCCCTCTCTGATGAAAAAAACCCTTTATTAGGCTCAACTAGTGAAGGAACAACATTTTTTACAGGTGTGTTCCCAGATTAAAGAAAAAAAATTAGTCTTTCCTGAATTAATGCAGTCATTACTTTTAACTGCTCCCTGGGATTCTTAAAAAGTATCTTTTTTTCCCTTATTACATATATAAAACTTATTCTAATGCCAACACTGGTTCATGTGAAGACAAAACTAATCTCCAAGCACAGGGAATAACTGGTGCACTTTTGAAGATTACAGAAGTGTTCTCTGGGGACACAAATATAAAATCCTGCAGATTTTAGTACAACTTTAAAAATCTTTTTGCTGTTTCAAGCAGCCCAGCTGCTGGTTAAACAACTGCACTTGGAATCTCAGAGTGGAGATTTAGTGTAGAAAGCCCACAGCCAGCTTGACATTCCCAAACCTGCTGTGGTAACTCTGAAGCAAACAAGTGCTGTGTCCCTTCAGCAGCTTTTCCTACACATTTTAAGATTGTTGGTCAGGTGCAGCTCTACTGGGTGCTGCCTTCCACAGGAGGAGTGCCCCAGCAATCTGTCAGTAAAACAGTTTAAGCATAAGGCAAGGTAAAAACCAGCTTAGGTAACTGGTTTAAACCCCTTTAAACTGTTCTCATCAACCTGGAGGATTTTACCCAAACACAAACAGGAAATATTCTCCTTTCCACCCTCAGTGAAGCAACAAAGGATTCCTCTGGCACGTAAATATCCTGCTCTAAAAACTGACTTAAGTGTTCCTAACTAGTCCTCAGAAGAAAGAAAGAATCCTGGAACAGTCCAACCCCCATGATTAACCCCAGCTTTATTTACCTTGGTTGTGTTAAGGATCCCTGGAGCACCAAAGCAGCGTGAGAAATGCACTGGGATCGGATGTTGCTCAGTAACTGGCTGACTGTTGGCTGGCTACACATCTGACAAAAACAACTTGATCTTAATACAAACCAGAATTTGGATACAGAACAGACATTTCTTTATTTGTGCAGTATAACTAACGTGCAAACTAAGTTTAGCACTACTCCAGCTAAAAACCTGCCAGGTTATCTATAAGTAGTGTTGGTTGGTTGTTTTTTCCCCAGAAGTAAAAGCTTAGAGCAGAATACAGATCACTGACAGGGAGCTGGTCTCTCAAAAATATGTTTTACATGGCATAAACTTGGATAAAATGCAGTGGATCAAAAGGGGAAGGATCATTTCTGACACAGTGTTTATTTAAGATATAAAATATATATGTGATTCAAATAGGATGAATTAACAAGAGTCAAAGGTACCTAATAAATTCTAGAGATCTGTTTCTACAAAGCCATCAGGAAGAAACCTTCAATTCCCACCAGTGAGTAAGAGGAGTGCCTGGGACAGCACTGATACAACTTTACTCATCTGAAACGTACCTTTGGTGCTTTTCTCTCCTCTATTCCAACTCTGTCAAAACACTCAATGAGGTAGTTCAGCATCTCTGTCTCCTTACAGTTTTCAATGGTGAAGTGGTCACTGCAGGAATCGGAAACACTTGAGCTGCCAGAGCCTCCCATACTTTAAAACACACAAAAACCAGAAACAAGGCATTAGGGACAGTTCTTCATTTGTGCACAATCAAACAATTCACCAGCTCTTCCTCTGCCAGTGCTCTGAACACTCCATCCCATCACACCCAGGGCTCAGCAGTTCAGGGAGTTCCTGGGAGCTGTGAAGGGCTCTCCAAGCACCAGCCTGTCCAACCCTGGAGGTTCAGAGCTGTACCATGACTGAAGAATCAACTACCTGATTAACTAAGGAGCTGAAATACAGCAGTAAGGTGCATGACTTTAATGGGAACCAGTGAATCTCTGAATTTTCTGAATCAGTGAATTCTCACCTGGCAACACCAAAAAGGGACAGGCTTTGAGTTGTACCTGACAGAACTGTTGGCAAACTCAGGACACCCCAACACTTCCAGGCCGTGGTGCAGCCTCTGCACAGGCTCCACATCCAGCACTAAAAATGGCAGAAATGTCCAAATTCTGTTAACACCACCAAGCCATGGAAGGCAGGAGCCTCCCAGTGCCAAGGACAGACCTGGGCTGACAGACAGGGCCACAGACACTTATGTGCTCTAAGGAAGGAGAATAAATAAACCAGGAGGCAACACAGCCAACCCACTGCTCCTTTTAACACTCCCACATTCAAGATCATTTTGTTTCAACTCAGATCATTTCAGTTCCCTCACAGTAAAATACATCATTTCATTAAGTAGCACAGCACTGAGGGGAGGGGAAAAACCCACTGATATTGTAAACACAAAAACTAAACCCACAAAACCAAAACCATCCTTGAGAGCAGAGAGAACTGGAACACAAGTGAGATCAGCCCCATGACTCTCAATCTCAGACTTGTTATCTCTACAGAATTCTTCTCTACACAACAGCTTGGCAAAGCTAATTAAAAGCAAAACCCTCATTTTGCAGAAGAGAATTAAGACGTGATGTAGTCACTTTATGTAAATGAAATTTTAAAAATAGCAATTACGTGGATGGGCTGCTGCAATTCTCCAAGAAAAGCCTGTGCACAGTCGGGGTGGATTTAAATGAAAATCAATTTATAAGCCCCAGATCTTAAACTGGAAAACATGAGTATTTGTTTCCTTAAATGCAGCTTTCTAAAAATCATGTTTAAACCTACAAACTCTCAACACTGGAATCTCCTTTAAACTGTAAAATAATTTACAATTTTATCATCAAGCTGTACAAATCTGTTGTGCAAACTCCACAGTCCAACCAATAAATCAGGGAAAGGTTATTACTGCTCAGCATCTGGGAGCTCAGCATGTTAAGAAACACAACATTGTAATAGCAGCAATCTCTGTTTGCAGAGAGATGTTTTCAGTTATTCAATTAAAACTTACCCATGTCAAACATTGCTCTATTGAAACAGTGCTCAGTAACCACAAAATTATGTCATTTTTTTCTACAGTCCCTTTTTTAAACCTCTTGACTTCTCACATTCAGCTTAAAAAAAGACTCTTTTAAGGGAGTAAATTTATATGAAAACCTACTAGTTCTATAGTTAGTGATTCTGTTAATGATTTCACTGCAGCAGCAACTCAAATTATTCCAACACAAAGCTCATACATCCTTCACACACGTATTGAATGCCTTGGTGTTTCCAAAATGCAAGTTGTTGCATAATTGTACAGCCACTGTGTTTATAATTTAACTAACAACTTACTGCTGCCTGCAAAATGCCAGGACAGAATAAACAAATGAGAACCCCAGAAGCACAGCAGAAACCCTCTCCAAAGCTTGGCAACTCAGTCCAACATTTGGATTCAATCGCCAACGGGATAAATATTAAACAAAACAGTGGGGAAAAATAATCCTAAATTCCACATACAACAAATCCTTACACCCACATTATCAGGTTCACTCTCCTGACATCAGACTGGGATGGAAAAGAGGAGATGCTGGTTGGAAGGTGTTCCAGGTCCCAGTGACTGTAGCAGCAGTGTCCCAACACACCACAGCAACAATCAGACAGAGAAACCAGTGGAGGGGGAGATCTTTCACACCAAGTGTTTTTGGGCATTCCTTGACACCCAAAAGTCTTGTTGGCTTTGTTTTAGAAGGCTCAAGCAATGAGAATTCCCCTGAGTTTTGCTGTAACTCAAATCCTTGCAGGGGACTGGGGGCCTTGGAGGAACCCTTTCCTCCCAGTTGTTCCACGTGTGTGTGGCCTGTAAAACTCCCACCTTGCTTCCCTTTCCCATCTGGAAGTGGTAACTGGCCCCCCCTGGGCTTGAGGCCAGGCACAGACCCCTCAGAATCACCCTCAGGCAGGACCTGGGGTCTGAATGCTCACAGAAAATGTTCAACACTACCAAGACTACAGAAGTATCATTTTTCAGAAAAATCTTCCTGAAATACATGGGGTTTATATAAAACATTTATTCCTTTCTCCAGTTTGGGCTGATCCAAGAGAATGGGACATTTCTTTGGGAAAATATTTCTGTATCAGCCAAGACACTGAAGGATTACTCTGCAATGGAATGGAGAACTAGAGAAGATCTGCCCCTGCACTTACATTTTCTAAAGCTTTCCCCCCCTTGGCATATCCAGTGTTCTGCAGGTTTTTGCATGGCATCTGCCCAGCTCCAAACCAGATCCCACCAGTATCAGCTCTCATTTGGTTTTCACATATCTTGATGTCACACAAATGAAAGGGTTTTGCTACACAATTCACAAATATCTGTTTTACAGTAAAATAGTCAATTCTTCCCCCTCCTTTCTTGGCTGTCCCAGCTCCAGCAGCCTCTGCTACAACCTTGCCAAAGGACCAGTTTAAGCTTTCAGGTGTATTCTGTCACAGGCTAAGGGGGTGATCCTCAGCTGTCAAGCAGCAATGAATCTTCAAAGTCACACTGTTTGCATCAGCTGCTTATTTGTCACTGTATCTTTTCCCACATGTTCACCTCTGTCCTCATTTTCCAGGTTTTCATAGGAAAACACACACACCTCGTACCAGCCACTGAAAATTACAGCCATGGGCAAATACTATTCCTTCTACTCACAGAGCCAGTGAGGAGCTGCACTCCAGCAGCATTGCAGAAACCATGCTCATTAAGCCTAGAAGACAGTATGATGAACATTTACCTTGGTCACCTCTTCAAAAAGAGCTGACTAACTGCACTCATTACACTTGTTTATACACCATCCTAACGAGGCAGCCAAGTCACGTCTGCTTTAGTTCCCCACTTTACTTTGAGGATCACTTGACACTACACAGGCTGTTAGTTCCTAAACAACCAAACATGCAGGTTACATTCTCTTTCTCAGATACCTGGACCCAAACTGGACACAAGAAAAATCATCATCTTCATTGTCTTCATCACTACTGTCCTCAGACACATCAGAAACGGCAAGGAGGAGGAGGGAGAAAGGGTTGTCGTACAAACTACCACAACAAAAATGGAAAAGGCCATCAGATTCTTCTTAAGCCAGAAGGAAAAGTAAAAGGTAGCTTTTAAGTCTGTCAAAAATCATCTTCTGTAAACATGCAGGCAATGGATAACTCCATGTTAGTAAAACCAAGACCATACTAACATGCTCTGTTACACTGCCACGAGTTATTCAGGTATCCAAAACACCACACATTTACAACCCAAAAATTGAAAAAGAATTTTTCAGACCCAATAAAAATTAAGGCTGAAGTGGAATGCTTAGACATGACTGAAAAATGAGCATTACAATTCTAAGCTAGTGAACTTTAAAGCAATGATCTCAAAACCTTGTGTGCTTGTTTCTCCCTCCTGCAGGGACAAGGGATTCCAGGAGCAGCCAACAGAGGAAATGCGGTGGTACTTGGCCTGGCACTCTGAAATAGGCTGATCTGTAATTTAAATCTGTGCACCAGGGAATTAAATCTAACCCAGTCCAGCAAGTAACAGCTTTCAACAAATTAACTAAAGCCCTACTGAGAAAACCTCTTCAGAGCAGGAGGTTTGTCTGGTTTACTATCCAGCAGCAGCAACTGAAAGGAAAGCTCATAGTTTAACTGGGATGGATGCACGAAGAGGAGGAAATGAAAACCATATTGCTCCTTTTGCAGTAATTCCATCAGCCCTCAGATGCTGGCAGAAGCAGGTGTCACATTTTGGCACAGACAGCCAGGTTAGCGAGTCAAGGGATTAGAGCAAACCAAACACAGAAATCAGCTCGGGGTGAGTGGGGTGAGCTCAGCACAAACAGCAGCTCTTCCAAACTGCCCGATGATGCCACACCCTGCACAGCACACACCAAGCACTGCTCTGGGCAATACCTAGGAGGGATCCTGCTCTGCAGGGAAGGACGCCTGCGCAGGGCACCGGGCGAAGCAGGAAACAAAGGTGGGCCCATGGCTGTGGGCCTCTGTCTGGATGTGATGACTGGCATGGCTGGAGGGCTAGCAGCCATGGCTGGAGGGCTTGGAGAACTAGATGGGATGGAAATGCTCAAGGAACGTGGGGTGGAAGAAGCAGAAAAGCCTCCAGGATGGGCCACGGTGTATGGCCGGTACCTCGGAGACGGCGGCTGTGTCCAGGAAGGGCTTGTGGCTGTGAGGTGAGAGCTGACAGGAAGGGGAGGCACAGCTGTGCTGGCAACTGAACTGGCTGGTGGGGTAAGAGATGAACCAGTCATTGGTACATAGCTTGTGAAATTGGTAGGAGGAGCTGGACTAGTCCCATAGAGACTAAACCAGTTACAGGGGAAAAAGAAAAAAAAAAAAAAGCAACGATTTAGGATATGCAGAAAAAGAGTGAAAAAGATAAAATGAGCAAGAGAAGTCCTTGCCCTTCTCATGACTCTTCAGCAATATTTCTGCAGCTCACACACATTACTCCTTTCTACTGTTGTTGAATAAAACTACGGCACAATCTATACACTTTTAAGAGTCACGGTCTTCGTGATGCAAGGTGGGGATACTCCTCAGCAGGAAACAGTTACATGGCTTGACTCTATCAAATACACTTCTAGCCATGGCAGTGTAATCAAAAACGGTGAAACGAGGGACATTCACATAAAAAAAGAGTGAAAAACTTTAAAAATCGATTCTATTTCTCGTTCTTGGGACACTTCTAGGCCCCTCTCTCTCTTCTAGTCTAGCAACCAATATTCAAGTGAAACCAGCATTCAGTTATAATCAGAAGTCACCTGGATAACGAACTGGAACCAAAGGAGCCCACATTACAGAACATGGGGCTGCTTCCTGGGTTGGAGCCCATGTTTAGGATGAGGCTTCTGTCGGGAGAGCGGGCGGCTGCAGCGATGGGCTGGGATGTAGCTGTCAGGCTGGCAAAGGGGTTCTCATCCCTTGCCTGGGTGGACATCATCAGCACTTCCATCAAAATCTGCCCAATCAAGTCCTTAAAATCTGAAAACACTGTTAAGAAGAAGAGAGTCAGTGTCCTCATCTCTGTCTTCAGCTACACATTAGTCAGAGACGTAAACATCAGCAGAGAATTCAAGGAAAAAGGACAGAAAGAGATTTCTGTGAATTAAGTGCTGCTTTTGGCAAAACCAACACACTGACACATTTATAATTATCACTCTGTATTAACCAGGTTCTGGAATTACAGCTACACAAAAATATAGCTTTTATGGAAAATACTGAAGATCAAAGATGACCTCATGCTGCTATTGTTGGTTATTAAAGTTGTCTTGTGTGTTCCACTCATATTTTCCCACCCTGCTGTTCAGTTGGGCAAGTTGTGTCATAAAAAAAGGAAAAAAAAAATAAAAATATGCATACACACCCCACACATAAAATAACCATTTTTAATTGGGTCATATTTATAGCTAACATAGAAAACATAGTTTGTTATATAAAATAATAATGAATTCTTGGTTTATCAAATTAACTGCCAGATGATGTCTGTTATGATGCAAGATAATTCATTGCAGCAAAGAGAGAAAAAGGTGAAAACAAAGAGATGGGAACGTGCCACTGCAGTGAAATAAGCCCTGCTCAGGTGCCCACCTTCCTTTGGGTTCTGCTTGAACTGGGCAGAGAGGGAGTTCAGGAAGATCACGTCTCTGTCTCGGTCCTTCCAGGACACTCTGAAGATCTTACAGACCAGCTGCAAAGCTTGTTCCTCAGACACCTCCGACCCAGACAGGGGCTCCTGGGGGGCAACAAACTGAGAATCAACACCTTGCTTGCCACTGTATCAGTCAAGTCAGTCGGGTACAGATCTCCTTTAAATGGCTTCAGCCCAACTACTAATGGCAGATTTTGTATGTTTATGAAGGAATATTGATGCATTTGACAGAATTTGGAAAAAACACCTGAAGAAACACAAGGGATGCAGAAAAGATGTAGCAGAAATACCCAAATCCAGCAGGACTCCCAAAACACATTTGAAAACTATACACTAAGAAGGGAAATTTAACCCAGATACCTATGATGTCTGCCTTAAGGAATTAATTGGGGATCCAAATTTTCATTATCCACAGTTATTTTAAGAGTTCTTTGTAAAAATGAAAGCACAGGAAGAAGCAAACTTCCCCCAGGTCTTTCCCAACTTCAAATCTTGCCCAAGATAGAGACATCTTTCACTTGAATGAACTCAGGACAGGACTGAAGATTCAATAATTTGCCTCTTCCAATAAAGAAAGGTGATGTAAACTGTGCTCAAAATGAAAAATTAGTTTCTTTAACGAGAATGGTCCCATACAGAGGGTACCAAAGGTTACAGGGGAGGGCTCTTGCAACCCTAAGGCAGCTCTGAGTGTGCACCTGAAAAAATGATGGAACACAAAGGAACAACACTGCAGTGATTACCCCCATGATGTGAGGAGAGGTGGCTTTTAAACATTTCCAGAACATACATGACAAGCCAGTCCCATCACTCTGCCCTCCCCTCCTCTCTGCTCCCCATACTGTAAAAGCAACATGATACACAAACTAGAAAATTCAGCTCCGTGGCATTTCAAAGGTTGGGCTTTGAGGCTATTTCCCTGCAAGAGTTCTCCTGTGAGAGTTGTACATGTTTACTAGAGCTAAAAAAACCTTCTGATATTTGACTGATATTAGTGCAGCTTGCACTGCAATGCATCTTACTCCTTCAGACAGCAACACTCTTCTCCTTTAGAAAAAAGAAGTCAGTGAGGAAGAACAAAACACAGACTGGAGAAAACCAAGGTTGCCACTAAAAATCTCCCTTTTTTCTTTTAAATTTGAGACCTCAGGATGGCTCCCCACCCCCCCACTGGAAGGCTGTCCTTGATTCCAGGCTATTTATTGCCCAGCAGACAATGAAGCTGTCCCAGTGCCTGGCCTGCAGCTCGGGATGGCTGGGAAGGATCCTGTGGCAGGTTATTGCTCCGTGGCTTCAGGCCAGGCTTTTACCAACAGACCTTATTACTGACAGGGCAGGAACAAACAAAAGACATCTAATGAGCACTGCAAGAATTGCTGGAGAAACTTCTCTCCACTAAAATGATGTCCCATTTCTTTATGGCTCTGTTTCACACGGGCCTTAAAATCAAATGATAAAGAGGACGATTCCAGGGGTGGATCAGAGCTTTGTACTTGCTTGCTTTTTCTACTTTAAAGGGTTCTACCAGCTCTCTAAACCTTGATAGCTAAATCTTCTTATGTATTTTCTTATAATATCTGAGGAAAACCTTATTACACAGCATTACTCCAGCACACATAACACTTGAAGCAGTACTTTTGTGAGCAGACCACCAAGTGCTACACAAATAAGATGCAACAATCTTCAAAGTCTCTTAAGAAATGGTTCTTCAGATCTACTATGTATTAAAAAAATAGATGTGAGGATTAATAGCTCACTTTGTTTTAAGATATAGAACAAAACATTTTCTTTAGAGTTTTCAAATATCATCTGTAAATCAATCCCAGACACCAAAATGCAGCTTTGATATTGGGAGTTTTGACTTGATATTGGGAGTTTTGACTGGATATTGGGAGTTTTGACTGGATATTG